TATGCATTTATAATAACTATACGATCTATTTATATAACAATTCATATTAATGAAGTTAAATAAGTTTTAACATTCCTCGAACATAAATATCATTCACAATGTTAAATTAATTATTAATTTATATACTATTTATTCATTAAATACAGTAACATACTTTTATTGTACCTACCTATACCTATATATAATTTTCACATTATAGACAATAATCGTAACAAAGTAATTATAGTTATAATTATATATAACATAATTATAATTATAACATAGTTATTTTTACATAAAGTAATATATCACTTCTATTTTATAATATACTAGAAGACCTGGCGAACTTCTTATCGCCCTATAATCAAGAAATATCTATTACGTTTTTTTATTTAAATTTTTGGAGTTTACCTGTAAGCCATAAATCTCCGTGTTTTGAAGTGCGACAGAATGATTGACATATTAGTTAGTTGTCAAATCTAATGTCAAAAAAACCGTTTGTATGGGAAATAGAGAATCAATTTTTTTCAACTTTTATACCTTTCCTGAACCTCCACGAACATTTCAAGACTAAGATAAATCCGTTCAGCTGTTCTCGAGTTTTAGCGAGACTAAGGAACAGCAATCCATTTTTATATAGATAGAAGAAACATATTATACAATTCAGTCATTTGGTATTGGTATATATTTCATCCTTAACCTCCTTAATAACGAATATAAAAAATCTATTTCCGTGTATCTGCTACCCGATGATTGGGCGGGAACACGTGAAAATCCCCAATTAATAGGTATGACGTAAAATTCACGGTAGGACTCCAACGTAGATGCTTTATAGAGCATGTTAAAAGCTATAAAGTTGCGGCGTGATAAAATACTATGCCAATAAATGATTAGCTATAACAAAATCTTTTCCTTGTTTCAAAATAGCGTATCTTCTAAACGATCTCGAACGACCATAATTTAATATTTCCATTGTACTGTAATATTTCCATTCCATATACAATTATTATCAATTATTATGGAAGAAACGCTAACACATTTTCACGCCTCGAGTCCATGCGCAAAATTTAATCCATTAATCCATTTACGATTATTATTTAAATATTTTCCATAATAAAATACAAATGTAATCATCATTACATATGTACTGCAGTGAAATAAAAATATATCTACAATATATTACTATTCAAAGATAAGCACTACTAGTACTAGTTTTATTGATATAAATTACAAATAAAGATAAATTATTTTCTTACAGTAAACAAAACTCCATACTGTTTATTAGTAATCGACCACCATACTGTTATCTTTGTATAATTATTATTTTGTTTTTGCACCGCATCAAGTGTTTTGTCGATATTTCGATTTTATTAGCTCATGATATTGACAGAAACGTAATTAGTTGTCTGTGGCCATTGAATAGTTATCTGAAATTAATTATCTGTGTATCTAATATATAATATCAATATATAATATCAATATATTATTTTTATAAACTTTATAAGTAGTTACAATGTTTAACTGAGAATTTTAAATATAATAATAAATATTATTTTGATATTTCAATTTATTTTTGACATTAATTGCACATGAATCGTAAAATGGCTGTTTTATTTGAAAGCATTTATTATTTGACACAAGTTGACGTTTAAGTAAGCAAAGTTTATGACCTATGATGTAATTGTACGATGTTCGGGAGTAAGACTTCAAATTATAAATACCATCATGATCAAGATTACTATTTAATATTTAATACTTATTTAAATGTATTAATTACTGTTGAATGATAATTATTTACACTTGTAGTACTAGGTTTTATTTCAAAAGACTTATGAGTGAGTTCAATACTATGTTAATAACCTTATTTTTCAATAAATCGATAATTTCTAATGTTCATTTACTAAAATTCTAATTATATAAAGGTAACCAACTATCTAAAAAGTTTTTATGAGAGTTTGAATTAAGTGCCGTTGGTTTTCAACTTTATTTTATCGTATTTTAAAAACAGTTCGTTTATTTATTTAATGGATTGCAAAATTACGTTAAGAGATTTTTTTATAAGTTCGTTATACTTAAACAACAAATGTAAGCAGACTCAATGTGCAACTTCAAAGTACATTTAATTTTTACACGATTTCGTGCAAAATACGTTGCAAGATTCAAAAACACTTGTAAAGGTTTTTCTCATACTAATATCGACTTCGTCATCAGTCTATCAGAGCCCACTCCTGAGCAAAGCCTCTTCTCACATGGAGAAGATTTGAGCATTATTCACCACGCTTGCTCAAGACGGGTTGGTGATTTCAAACTTATAATTGTGAAATTATAAGTCCAGGTTTCCTCACGATGTTTTCCTTCACCGTCTGTATGCATTCAGACTAATATGTAAATCTCATATCAAAAGATTTTTAAATCTTTAAGTTTGTAATGTAAATAGAGCGTTTTCCTTGAAATACAATTATTTGAAGCCATCGGCCGACTGATGAATCAGACAGTAATCTCGTTTTTTCTCGATCTTGAGTCTCGAGTTTTTAGTCTTCTTTTTTATATTTACTCAGTTTTGTGTTTTTTTAAAAACGTTGTATATTTAGGAAAATAACATAATTACTTATTTGTTCATTAATAAGTTATTGGGTTAAGATAATGAATTGTGTTTTGTTATTGAACATTAGTGATGATCGTTTCATTGACTAGCTGCGCCCCGCGGTGTTACCCGCGGATTTCCGGGATGTAAAGTAGCCTATGTGTTATTCCTGGACGTCAGCTTCATATATACAAAATTTTATCAGAATCGGTTCAGCCGTTTGAGCGTGAAGAAGTAACAAACATACACCCACACTCACAAACTTTCGCAATTATAATATTAGTAAGATAATTTCTTTGAAATTCTTGTTTTAATTTAATAATTAATTCGTTTCAATAATATACATATTTATATAGGAAAGTATTTCATTTATGAATTGATGTATATGTTTGTTTGTAAGGTTGTCTGTATTATGCTTTCCATTGTAATACGAATACATTAGCTTTGAAAAATATAATGCTAATGTTTGTTATTTTGCCTATAACATATAGATACAGTTTTCAATAAGATAATTCTGAGTAAATTATATATCCCCTTAATTAATACAAGTTCTAGAAAACATTTGTTTTAGTTATAATAAGTAATAATTAAATTTATTAATTCTCATAAGAAAATACAATCTATAAGTAATTATAAGTACAGTAATATTCCTTTTTTAACGAGGGCAGCACCATAATTTTACAGAAAACTTTTCTGTGACCTGACCTGCTTTTACTAAATAGCGACTACTTACCTGTGAGTTTCAGAACAATGGTCAAACGGTAATATTCACATCATTAAATGAATTATTGAATAATATGAACAAAAATATATATATTAGAGTAAAAATAATCTGTTTGTTTGTTGTCATGACTATATTTAAAAGAATTATTGAGATAAAATCGAACAGAACCCAAATGCATTTTAGTAGTATTATTTAATGTAATTAATTAGTAAAATTCAATACAAACAACATTCTTTGTCCCAAATTCTTTACTAATTATGCTTCACCTACAATTCCTCAAAAACCTTAACGTAAAAAGCATTTCAATATTTATTTTTCACGACGCGATAGTTGAAAATATATATTTATTTTATACATCTATGGTAAAAGTATGAAAGGAGTTCGAAAATGAAAAAAAACAAACAATTTACATCTATTACTTTTAAAATTCAACATGTTCCTAGACAAATATGTTTTTTTTTTCAAACAAATGCTCTTTCAGAAAACTGTATAATGTGTTTTCGTATTTCACTAAAGCGCAATATTCGGGTCAGGCCGCGAGTCGAGACGTCAATTCACATCTCCGGTTTGGTAATCAATGTCGGATTAACAGCAGACAGACGACAAACATTATATATAAGTATTAAAATACTATGACGGAAACATTTACTTAAAAAAACAATAATATTTCTTGAATTTTTAAATAATAATTTTTTTTTTTTGTTGTGTCATTGTTGTCAATTTTTTTTTCTTTTTCGTCATGTAAGTTTTATATCTGGCCTGTATTTTTTATCAATTTTTTTATTTTGGTATCAAACATAACCTATGATTATAGATTAAATGATATGATATTTATGTTATGATAGTGATATATTTTATTTTCGATCATTAACTGAATCCATCATATCAATCTTATCAAAACCGTTTCCGCTCACATTAATTTCATCTATCGACGTTCAAGACAATCGTCAATACAATCCATTGTTCTTCGTCGCTTATCGGACACGTGTACAAATATAATAGAAATTAAACAGGAAACTGCTGACAGATTAAAATAATTTTGTCACTAACGTTTCTTTTTTATTATTATTTGGATTTCGAAATATATTCTCTTGGGATATAATGAAATAAAGAAATAATTAAGTTCTACATATATAAATATCGTTTTATCAAAATGTCAATTTATTCAGTATATCTGGTTGCACACATAAAAATGCAGACAAATAAAAACTTCAAAAATAAACAGGCGTATGAATTTTTCATGCTCTTTTTCGGTTATATATTTGTCCATGGACTCTTGGTTCAATATACATTATTCATAAACATATGTTTATGACATTAGATCAATGACATATTACACACGTATTTAAACCCAGCTTACAACTTAAAACAGGGACATAATACGATAATTATAATATCAATATAAATACACACAACACTAGCAACGTATAGTTTTGGTACGTCACTATTAAGACCTGTCAAAAATTCGTATATACCGGTACAATAGCCATCTAGACGCAAGATTTTAATTGTGACATCAAACACAATCCCGCGATAACATTGTGCATGTTTACCGTGGACAATCGTAACTTGGTCTCGCTAGCGTATACACGGCAGTGACGCCAAACCGCACACATACAAACGCCCCGGAAGCTATATAAGCGCGACGATCGCCTCCGCCCCGCACTCTGCAATCAGAATTCGTTGTGAACACACGTCTTGTAAACACTCATCATGGTCGTAAAACTATCTCACGCTGCGCTTTGCGTTGACGTTTACCCCGCGCTACCAAAATCTCGAGGAAGACAAATGGATTGTACTGAGAAGCAAAAGCTGAAAACTCTGCCAGCTTTAGTTGAAGATGATTCTGAATCGGAATCCTTCGAGGAGCAGGATAGAACTTACATCCCTTACGCGGATTTAAGGAGCCAGAAATCAATTTCGCCCCAGCGTAGAGTACTGCGTCGCCAGCTAGCTTTACCTTCGCTGTCTGAAGACGAGGAGCCTTGAATCTAGAAGATTCTTGACCGGAAAAGGAGTATACAGCTGTGAAGCTGGCCCCGTGTCTCGGGGAAGGGAATCTCGTCACTGAATGGTGCGTAAAAGTGAATGTATAGCGGACTGGACGACTCGGAATAAAGTGAAGTTGCTAGTGCTGTTACGATACATATAAACTGTGCAGTGAAAATATTATAAAAAAATATGTAATCTCTATGTAAAAATAATTTCAATAAAGCTGTGTTTATGTATATGTATTTATTATTTTCCTTGCAATGGGTATGTAGAGGCGAATCTGTTTTCAATATCACTTGTGTTCAAATATATTCTATATTAATTAAATGGCAGAAAACTACAGTTTTGCACGAACCATAATACAACAACTAATAGACTAAGTTTCTAAATTTTAATTAATAAACAATTTAACATTATTTTCAAATAAAATATAACGATATTACCACTAATTATTATAGATCTCATAATCTAAGTAACGATTTTTATAATACGTGTTCTGTGATGTGTTTTCATGCACGCAATACTTGATAGCATCTAAATACTCAGATAAAGTCATGATTAATCGCTAAATAAATATCAATTAAAGTTTGTATTGGAAAAATTATGAGAATATCTGATAATACCCTGGGAAATCCTCATTGAGATCCGATGCTTTCAATGGTCGTGTATATCAAACGGACATTATTTTATCAACACGCTCGTTTTATGCAACACAATCCCTCATTAAAAACTCCTTTGACTCATATCATAACAATAATATTTTGAAAACACGATTAACTTACAGTGTGATTAGAAAAATAATCATTCATTCTTAAGAATATTTTCAACAAACGCTTTATTCCTATGTAATCCCTACCAATATTATACATGCGAAAGTAACTCTGTCTGTCTGTCTGTTACGTTTTCACGCCTAAACCACTGAACTGATTTTAATGGAATTTAGTACAGAGATGGAGTTGACCTTGAGAAAGAACACAGGATAGTTTTTATAACAGACTTTTGAAAGATTTTCTTGGAAACGCGATATAACCGAACTTCACGCGGGCGAAGCTGCGGGCGGAAAGCTAGTATATACTAAATCTAAAATATTTTTCAATAATTCGAAATTTATATGTCCGCGTTCAATGGTTTATATCTTCAAGCATGAATGAGGATTTGGCGTCACATTGCAAACGATGAACTTTAAATGCATTGCCAAATAGGTTAAGACTTGTATTTGAAACACATTTTTAAATTTGGAACATCTTTGGAACAGTCTTGCTCCTATTGTTTAAAATGCATTTTGTGCAAGGTCTTTCTAAATTATACTTAACATAAAAAATGTTTCAATAATTATTTTCATATTTAAAAATAAAAATATTTTGTCAAAACATCTAATCGTCTCTACATTATTATAACAGAACTTAAGGGAAAAACCAATGTGGATAGGGCGACCGAAAATAAATAATTAATGCGAAATGTTTTCCCTAAACTGTCTTGGCTATATAAAATCTAACTTATAACTTTTAAATACTTATATACTAACCGAAAACAATGTATGTATGAAATAACAATGTACAAATCAATTGTTTTAACCTAGGTATGTAATTAATATCTTTGATCATGTTTGTCATGTCACTTATGGGTATAATCAATCATTAATCACTATTAAGCACAAGAACGTTAGCAACACGACGTAAACAAAATGGCAGACATTATAATATAAATTATGTAAAAATTTAACGCCTCGAATACGGGTCATTTAAGCCTGTTCTGTCAAAGGTCGTTGGATGTCGGAAAATTGTTGTTTTATCTGGTATTTGCTGTTTTTTTGGGTCGATAACATGTAGTTTTATTTCAATGATGCAATATAAAATGCCATATTTTTTCGTTAAATTTATATTGAAATAGAGGAATAGAATTGGAATATCAAATCCATATCGTATTCAATTTTGAGATACGGTTGACTTTTCAATTAAATTTCGAAGCGACTGTAATTTAAATAAATAGAAAAAAGCACAATTATGTTTGTTGATAATATTTAATTGCTAGTTTATATCATCTTTATAAGTCAAAAAAAGAATTCAAAGATGATAAAAAAATACAGTTAGAAATAATAATATTTATTATTGAATATAATTATGAAGAGGTTTTATTAGATATAATTATTAAAAGTACTTCCAGTATGTTACGACCATATATAAGATCTTTATGTACATATATGGCATTGTATAAAAAAACCTTCGATTGATAAGCACTTTGGAAGCTAGCCTTTCATGTCTTAAATGACACAAAGCAGTAATTATGTTTTTAACATGTGTTTAAAATATTCATCTTCATTTATTATGTATAATATTTTATAAACTCCAAGTAGTACAAGTTGTAGATTTTGTCTAAAATGACAAAAGCATGCCTATTTTAAGATTAATTATTATAATTAATTCAAATATCTAGTTCATTGATAATATAATTAATTGATTTATGACCTTTGAAAGTTCCTTTATTAGCTTAGTTGTACATTATTGTTATCGAACGCAGGCGACATTTAAGCATACCTACTCACCGTCGTAACATTTGATAGTACTTTCTAGAACATTCTACATTTGCATTCTCACACTGGTGACATAAAGCGAGGTATTGTGAATAATTGAATCTACAATATTGCATAAGTACAGAATGGTTAAATTTTAAGTAACCATGTACCTAGCAAGTAAAAAATATCATAAAATAACTTACGTTGCTTAAAAAATTAAATATAGATAATGTTTTATCTCAATTAATAGACTTTTAGACGCCCGAGAATTTAATATTTGAGTTTTAATCAAATGTATAGTTTGAACTGTTATATAAATGCTATTGAAATATTATTTTATATTAAGTTATTTATTTACTGTAGATCATATGGTTTAAAAGATCGCAATTAAATGAATAGAAACTTTTCTACATTATTATAATTATACTATAAAATATAATAAAATTGACATAAAAGTAAAGTGTTTATAAAAATAACATTAAAAAAGGTTATGTGTTGATTGAAAGTTGAATAGAAATACGAACATCACTTGCGATTTGCGAATCCACAACTATGTCAATAGCGTAGTTGCCATATTGAGTAAGAATCATAAAATTATTAAACAAACATGCGCAGTGTAGTGACAAGAGTGACAAACACGTGATGTTTCCTTGTAAGTTGTAAACGCGTAAACATCCAGAAATAAATACATGTACAGATAACAGTAATAATAAGACAGCCTAAATAATTATTTGTTATTGACATCTGGCGAATGTCTTGGATGCTTGAAGGTCTAGCAATAGGAACCGAGGCGGAAAACACGCGGATAAAGCAAGAGTAAACAATAGAAGTACGTATTAATTTATGACTATTATTCAGTTCAAGGAAACGTGTTTTGAGTGCTCTTGAGTTTTGAGTGAAAGTGAATAATCTTAGCTTTTTTATGTATAAGTAGTTGTTACGCGTGGTTTCATTCGTTTTCTTTGTTTAATTTCAATTGGACAATTTTTTTCTTGTTATAATTCTTAGCGTAAGTAAAGTCCCATCTAAACTGTCTCGAGACTTGACATAGTAAATATACATTTTTGAAATACGTAATATATCTATATCTTGTATATAGAAGTTTCCAAAGTAGGTATCATTTTAAATTTTACGTATTTTAATTTATTTTTTGCATTGCATTTGGGATTTACATTAATTTTGTAATTCACATATTTATTCAGTTATAATGTAAGTATTTTGTAAACATTGAGTCATATTGTTCACAAAACCATATATGGTGATTGTAAAAGCGTATGCCCTTGCGTCGTAATACAAGAGAAATAACAATACGCCTTTTAAAGATATAGATTATTTTCTCTTCATATACATAAAACTAAATTACTTTTATTCAATAAAAATGTCAATACTAAAATGTTTTTCGTTATAAAATTACTATTAATATATACATATATTTGTGATTTATTTATTATTTAGTAAACGAAGACGTTCTAGTTGAAATTCATCATGTACTTGTAAATTTAAATGCAGCCGTAGTACTGTTGGATAAGCATGTTTATGTAATAGAGTTCTATAACCTTGCCTGCACCTGGCGAATTTGAATACGGCTTGTACATTCGTTTGTTTTGGTGACGTCTGAGAATTATTTATTTTATAGCCATCCATTGTTGAGATTAGATTTGAAAACTGTATTCTGATGAAGTTATTTTTAGATTGATTGAGTATATCGTATTTTAGTGGCAATGGGCAGACCATATAGTATGGAGAACAGATGGGTTTTGGGGTTGAAAAGTTCTCGAGTGGAAACCACGTATGAGAAAGTGCAGCGTTGGACCGAAGCCCGAAGGCCCGAAGCCCCTTCTACCGAAGCGCTTGGAAGTCGATGAGGAAGACCTATGTCCAGCAGTGGATCACACATGGCTAAAGTGATGATGATGATCGTCGGGGATACTTAGTGCAAACCGCGTAACTAGCATTGGATAATTCAAAGTCGTTAATTTAGAAAATATTTCAGCTTAAACTTTGTTCTGATAATCTGCTTCCAATGTAGATACGCGAAATTATCCAATGGTAGGTACGCGGATTTGCACTATCCCTGACGATATATTATATAGTTTTATTTTTGATGACATTGTATAAATGACAATCTAAATCTAATATGGTGGAAGTTCAAAATTGTGAACTAGCTATATATTCTTTTGTTTTCTCATCACATGGATGTTTATATAAAAGTTCTAGCTGAGAATTATAATAAAACTTATATGATTTTATCATATTCCATATAGAAGAGAGTCCAACAAAATATTTCATTAAAAATCAAGAGATGAAAAAATATGACGGTAATAGTTTAATAAAAAACGTAAATAATAATCCGTTATTTAATTCTCATAATAAATTAAATATAAGAGAAAATTAAAAGTTTTATATAATTTATATATCTAGCTTAATTTTATTTGTTCCTACCTATAGTTTTCGATGATGTCATTTCTTATAACCCTGAATTAAA